GAGAGAGAGAGAGAGAGAGAGAGAGAGAGAGAGAGAGAGAGAGAGAGAGAGAGAGAGAGAGAGAGAGAGAGAGAGAGAGAGAGAGAGCATGCACCTCGACTACGGGTTGCTCTATCAGCTTTCAAGACTATTGTGAGGAAGTCTTGCAGCAAGCTGTATTTTTCATACGCTATGTGAATTTCATTGTGCTGATGGCAGCTGTCTTTGGCATGGTGACATTTCTTCTACATCCTTTATGTGTTTCTTGGAATTCAAATTTGAGACTCTACATCATTTTCATTTCAAAGTTCGAACACTGGATGGACCAAAAGGTTATGCTTATAACTTTCTCTTTGCAATGTATTGTCCCTTATTTGCTATCTATGCAGAACTTCCGTCAAAATTATACGAATGAAGAATTGCTCTCCTTTTGTGCGAGTATCGTCGGGTGAGCCACATTGCGGGCACCAAGCTAGTCCAAGTGAAAGGCTGTCAAACACTTCTCCTGCTGCACCTAAGTAATTCTCCTTCTTTCTAGCACTCCTCCAGGCTCCTCTATCCTCGCTCCCATACCGTTGAGATCTGCACAAAATAAACACCATCATGAACCTACACATCAATCAGCCAGCAGCAACTCCGGTTCTAAACAGCAATACCCCATGCCTGGCAAACAAGAAGCCCTAAAATCAGTTCGGGTGAGGCGCCACTAGTACTATGTCGATGCTGAAGCACAAAGCTGGCTGCTCTTACGGTCAGGTTGATGCTTTTCAAGCATGAACATAGTGCCACTGGGACCTGCCCCTTGGCTATGGAGCGCTGATGTGTATCTAACCCTAATGCTATAACAAAACCTGTGCAAGACACCACAAACTAAACCCGTAGAACAAAGTGGGTCCATAACATCCACATTCGGGCCAACATTCCGACCTCCCCTTTACGTCCCCCTCCTCCCTCCTACCCCTGTTGCAAAGGTTTATCCACACTATTTACCAGGACCTTTCCGCCTCCCGCCTCCTCCGACCCTTTGGCCCCCTGATCTCCTACTGGGATCCGTTTGTGACAGCCGATGAAGACGCGGGGTTGATGTCAAGAAACAGAAGGGAATATGAAACGAGAAATGAAGACCAGAGAGGAAGCAGGAGGGGGAGGAAGCCGCGGAGGGAAAAGACTACGCCTTCTGTGTGTGTGCCTCTCTCTCCCTCTCTCTCCCTCCCTCTCTCTCTCTCTCTCTCTCTCTCTCTCTCTCTCTCTCTCTCTCTCTCTCTCTCTCTCTTAGCACTTTTTCTCCTTCTCTCGTTCTTTTGGGACATTTGTGGGAGACCAGTTCTCATTTTCTTCCGACCTTGGTTGCAATCGGGCATGGGCCTAAAAGTCAAAAAGTGCATTGATAGTTCAAGGGTTCTCGAGAAGGGAAACCTAGCGATGCTGTCAAGACTAGACAGCAAGGATTAAGAAACTCACTGGCATGAACTCTTGCAGTGGAATATCTAGCGTTCCATGATTACGGCTCCAGGGGCATCATCTAACTGCGTCATGCTGTACCTTGTTCAACACTTTTTATTGCAAGGATGATAACCCTGGAGAAAGAGAAGAGGACAGAGGAGTTGAAGGGATGTAGTTAGGAAGTGGAGAATGCATACACGCTCACAGGATCAAAGACGTGAAAGACGGCCCACGTACGTCTGCAGTTGTGCACCCCTGAAAAGAAGAAGAGGGTCACAAAGAAGAAACCAGCTATGGCGACAAGTGCAAGGAGCTTGTAGCACTGGAGGCAAGGAGAGCAATTAGAGGAGAGGGCGAGGAATGAGGACGAAAGGAAAGGAAGGCGAAAGGCATAGCAGAGTTGAAGCAGTTTGTGGCAGAACAAACCCCCAATGTGTATAAGCTGGTCACACTGAAGAATGAGATGACATCCATCAGCAACAAGCTGAACGTCATTGTGCAGGAGCTGCAGGGTCAGGCAGGTGCAAGCACACCGCCTCCTTTCCCCAAGGAAACTGCAACAACAGAAACAGAGAGGGAATGGTCACTGAAGCCCAAGCTGGGGAGGCGCCACCCAAATTTAAAGGCGGACAGGATGAGGACATAGACCGCTGGTTGTGTGCCATCAACGGGGAGTTGGACTTTTATGAGCCCACCAGGGACTGTGACAAAATTCATTCGTTTTCTGCAATTTTAGACGCAGCGAGACAGTGGGCGGACGGCGAAGTGTTGCAGGCTGGTGGAGATGTGCTGAGTATGCCAAGCGTACTACATGGCTAGAAACTTCCCAGAAGTGGGGAGCGGTACATGACGGCTACCCGTCAAGATCAGGCATGGGTCCGATATGCCGAGTTGTCCATGCAGACTTTCATGGCAGCGTGTAGGATCTGACATGGGAATTTACGCAGATCTTGCAGACACTGGAACTAGAGGTCAGGGAAGGCCCATTATGCATGTTTTTATGACGGCCCTCCCAAAGAAGACCGAGAGGCACATGGGTCCCCAATGCAAGGAGCTGAAAACTTACCACAACATAGCGGAGTAGGCTTTAAAATAGACTCCGGGCTGCAGTCCGCTGAAGGGACAAGGGCGACGAGACCAATAAGGGACACAGGTGCAGTCCTGTGCACAGGAGGGAAACCCGGTGACATCAGAGTGAGACGTGCGCTGCAGTTACTGAAAGGCCGAGATACTTCAGTGATAACAGCAGTGAGGGAAGTGCAGAGGGTGAGAGATAGGAGAACCTCCAAAAGGAGAGAGCTGAGAGGCAAGCATCTGATTCGCATGGAGTGCAGAACCAGACACTCCTTTCGAGCTGCACGAGTGAACAAGCGTGGTAAGAGGTAAACAGCCGCCATAGCAGCAAGGGACAATGAAACAGCAAAGTGGGCGACATCATGTCCAGCGGGAGGAAACATAGCATCGATACCGCCGTGGGACAGGCTTGGAGTGACAAAGGACATATACATCGACAGAATGAAGAACAGCCTGTGAGTGAGGTGCGGCCACAGTGGACACTCAGGTACAGATTACGGAGCAAGGAGACCAGCAAAAGAGTAGGGCCAGTGGATGGTGCAGCCCCATCCACATAAGTCGGTGAAAGAATTCTGCAAGTTGTAGGGCACCTAGTTCTCCCACTCCCCAGCCTCAGTTTGCCAAGTCCGCAAGCGCCTGCCAGGAGGAGCAGCAAGCCGATGCAGACTGCAGCAGCGTTTGAGGCACTAAGAAAGGGGAAGCACAAGATCAATGTGAAGAAAAGCGAATTTGGGAAGGGAGATACGTGTTTGATGAGAATGGAGTTTGTTCAAAAGCCAAGAAAGTGGAGGTTGTTGTACAGTGGCCACGACTACAAGATGAGAGAGATGCACAATCATTTTTGGGCCACAAGTGTTTGGGCATGGCCACAAGAAGTTCATTGAACGTTAAGCAACCATTGCCGCACCACTCACCCGATTGACCAAAAGGATGCCACATTTGACTGGACAGAGGAGTGTGACAGGTCCCTTCAGACTCAATAGCCATCTCAACATATATTCCATCTCAAAGGTTCCGGATCCTGCAATGTCATTCTTGTGAGCAGAACGTTGGGTGTGGTCTGCGACCCGCCAAGTACTACTGTCTTCACCCGAATAGTACGCCCACCGCCCGGTCATTATCGTGGCATCTGGACCGAAATTTGTGCCAAATACAGCTATAATGACCGCGCGTTCTATTCGGGTGAAGACGGTAGTTGCCTTTGAAGAGATTTGCAGCCATAACCTACGAGAGGGAGCTTATGCTCTGTATTACGCTCTAAGGACATAGTGATATTATGTGCTAGGGCACCCCGTCAAAATTTACTCGGACCTTCACACTCTTCAGTGGCTGAAGACACAACCCATGTTATCCGATAAGCTGGCCAGATGGTTCGCCTATATCAATACCTTTGACTTCGAGTTGAAGCACAAGAAGGGGCGTATAACCAAGTTCTAGATGCACTCTCGAGGTGGTTCGACTTCATGGGAGCTATATTGTCGAAGTAGAGAGTCAGAGAGTCTAATAGACAGAATCGCAAGAGCTTCCGCAGATGATCCTGTGTCTTCCCAGTTGATCGCACATCTGGAGGCACATCCGGGCTTAGCAGCGAATTATACGTGGTAGACGAGTTTGAAAGGATGCCCCGAAGTAGACCTTTCCGGTAGGTACTGTACAGATTAAAATATAGATCTGATGGGATAAGACCGGTAGGAACAGTAGAGGATCTTAGAAGTCGAGAGGAAGGGAGTCGCCGAGTGTCCATTCCCGGTCCCATTGTAGCTCCGTCCCAGGGAAAGGCCATGGCATACTGAATCTCTGTCTGACGCAGCAGGGCCTGGCAAGAAGAGTCCGGAATCACGTGGGAGGCAGAGGCGCAAGCACAAAAGGGAGGCCAACGTCAGGGACTCCTCTTCTTCGATTCGGGCATTTGCATAAGCGCTGATGCGTTGCTGGGCGCCAAGATCTTGGAGTGAACAGTGCCAGGCGAGAGAGACAGTAGTAGTCCATGGTGCTGGGCGCCATAGCTAGGAGCTTGCATAGTTGAGAGAGAGGAAGGAAGAGCAGTGAGGACATTCAGAGAGTGATCGCAGGACCTGGGCTCAAGGTACCTCGCGGAAGGCAAAAGGCCACCGTGATTGAAAGCAGGCCGACAGGTGAGAAAGTTGACGGCAGATTGTTTGAAAAAAATTGAGAAAAGTGCAGCGCAGCCTGCGTGGTGAAGGAAAGGTGCAGTGCGAAGAAGAGAAAAGCCTGTGTGGAGAAAGGCCAATGGGCGAGAGAGACGGCGGTGCGGTGAACCAAAAAAAAAAAATAAAAAAAAATTGGAGTTTGGCTGGGAGGAAGGTCGGCGAGAGTTGGAAAAGGTGAAAAAGGGGTGAGAAGCACCTACCTAGCGCCTACCTGCAGCAAAGATTGAGCTTGATCAAGTGACCCAACAGTACCAGCGGGGAAGAAAAAGTCTTCAGCGGGCTTGGAGGTGAGGTATTCGACGCCCTGGGCCTTGCATAATGCATGTATGGCGCTGAATCACTGTTTTATCAGTCTTTCCCTAGATTGAGCTGCAAGAGTTGTCTTTCTGTTGCCGTCAAGTACGTCCTAAGTCGGTAGGAGGTTTAGGGGCATGCCTGCAATCGGCAGGCGTGTAAAGTAGCAAGCACAGGGATTGAGCGGAGTGCGCTCGTTGAACAACCTGTCTAGCCCAAGGACCGTAACTGGCCGGGATGCGAGTGAGCCGCGTGCCTACGCGCGGGGTTAGCCTGCGCCCGACAAACATCTAAAGTAGCAAGCGCGGGCATTGAATGGCGAGCGCCCGTTAAACAACCCGTCTAGACCAAGGACCGGTAGTGACAGGAGTGCACGCGAACCGTGTGCACATCAGCACTGCCCGGTCTTTAAGTATTGAGGGGTTAGCCTGCAACCAGTAAACGCGTGAAGTAGTAAGCACGGGCATTGAGTGGTGGGTGCTCATTAAGCACACCGTTTAGCCCAAGGACCAGTACTGACCAGCGTGTGAGTGAACCGTGTGTGCACGAGCACTGACCCTGGAAGGTGGAGACACTACTTGGCCACGTTGTCCTGTCTACGACGTTAAAGAATTCTTGAGGACTTTGCTGGCTGTCCTCAAATTGCCAGCTGGCCAACATAGTTGATGAAACTTATCCCTGTAAAAGAGTCTGCTGATCGAAGCAATGACGGAAGTAGAAGAGTCATGCATGTTAGAGTCCTTGGGCATAGAAGCCAAGGGGTTACATCGAAGTCTACGGAGTTATGCAACAGGGTTAACATAGACTGATTGTTGTACGGACTCTCCAACATGGATGACTACTCCATGTATTGTGTTCTTGCTCTTTCTGTACTTCTCCAACCCCTCCTCCGTTTCTTCTTTCCCCTGGCATTTTGGTCTAGCGTGCACCTTCATGGTCCTTCACATAATAAACCACCATAGTGTAAAACAGACCTTACAGCCAGGGAACGAAGGGTATGAAGAACCGCAAAGGAGAAAAAAAGGGCGGAAGACTGGAGAAGAAGATGACGATGGTGGAGAAGAAAGTGACGTAGAAGGAGAAGACAAGAAGAAGAAAGGAGGGGAAGAAAAAGGACAGACACCCAGTGGTGGGACACTGGCCGTAGCAGTTGGAACCGGGCCTTCCATCATGACCGTATATAACCACCCGGCGGAAGCAAAAAGGAAAAAGGCGGAGGTGAATAAAAGGAAGGAAGAATTTGAGGCGGCGAGAAAGAGGCGGAAGAGGAAGAAGAAAATATGCAGCAGTTGGCGGCGGAGTTGTCAGAGGAGAAGTTGTTGTCTGGCCACATTAAAGAGCAAAAAGAGAGTGGTCAGGCAGATGTGAACTGCGTAGCCACATTGGCCCTTAACAATCGAGCGGCAATTGAAGATTTGTGGAAGAAGTTGGAGGACTTGGCATATAGAATGGAAAAGGCCGCCTCTTTGTCGACCGAAACTTTAGTACCCTCGATACTAACTTGACGACTTTGAATGAGAGTATAGAACGGAGGGTACAACAAGCCATTCGAACAGAATTTCAAAGATTCAAGGGAGAGTTGTTCACGATGTCAGAAGGGAAGCGACTGGAGGAGAAGCTGTCTCTTATACACATCTAGATGTGTATAAGAGTCAAGGGAGAGTTGTTCACGATGTCAGAAGGGAAGCGACTGGAGGAGAAGAAAGAAGGCGGTGAAGAAGCGATGAAAGGAGGTGATGAGGAGGCAAAGCAAACATGGGAGGAACCCTATTACGAGGCCGGTGACGGCTGTTCCTGTTACATGATGTTCCCTCACCCGTATCATGGCAAACTGTACAAGGATTTAGATGCATGGGTTGCAGAGATACAAACTTCCATATTCAAAGAGCGGATCAGACCGGACTGTCAGGTAATTTATGCATGCGCTGCATTGAAGGACGATGCCAGATCATGGGTGATGCAGAAGGTGGCAGAGAACAACTTCGGAGATCGGCTAGATCTATACGGCGCAAGCAAATCCCTAAACGAATTGGTCAAGGAATTAAAAGCTAGATTTGAAGACCAAAATCAGGGGATTAAGACAATGCACCAAATTATGAATATCCATAGGATCAAATGGCATATAGTGTAGAAGCTTTGGTCCGCTGAATGGATGCTTTAATTGGGAAACATGGTCACAGGGTAACACCAGAACAGCAGTTAAATCAGATTCATCTCGCCATGCCGAGTCTATTTGCACAGTTTTAGCCACAGAAATGGGTCAGTCAAGGTTCACTTACAGAAAATACACTGAGCGGGATCGACATTTAGCAACAATGCAACTACACGATCTTGCTCTCGCCCCTGAACTGAGAATTTTTGTCTCCTTAGGAGGGGAATCAGAAGTAGTCATTGTGGATACAGGATGATGGTGGCGGCGGATACATTCAGGGAGGGGATTATGCTCTTGTTGTGGCCCGTATGGAAGGGCCACAAGAAAGAGGTGCTGGAAGAGGAAGATCTCAACCACAAGGTCGAGGAGGTGGTTGGCAACGGCTACCACAACAAGGGGGAGGCAGCCGATTTGGATCTCGTGGTCCAGGGTGTGAGGAAGGCCAGCCCTGGAAAGAGATGAAACTGTAACAGTCCCAATGGCACCACCGCCGCGGCAATCAAATTTGCTTTAAGTGTGGCAAGCAAGGCCACATCATTCCCTTCTGCCCACAATTGAACCAGCCGGCACCACAACGACAACAAGGGCAGCAATCATCAAAAGGGAGTGGCCAGTAGAAATAGCAATCGCTTCTACTTGGGCTGCGAGTGTACTGGAGAGAATGCGCACGCAGAGGAGAAACCTTCCCACTCGTAGGGAACGACAAAGGTTGAGGTAGCCAACCATTCAGATAGCTCTTTGGAGGTCGCTTGCTGTAGGATCTCTCTAAGCAGCCCCCTAATAGACGCAGGCGAGGAACTGATCACTCTTGGGCTACTAAAAAGAAAACATCTAGTAATAGTAGATGTAGTAGTTAGTACTGTGAGAATAGGTGTGATGATAGACAATGGGTCAACCAAGAGTTTTCTCCTGTAGAGCAGTTAAAGACTTGCATTTAGGAACGAATGTTCAGGATTTGGAATGAGCCAGTAGTCTCGAGAATGGCCAACATTGTCCAACAATAGTTTGATGAGCGCGGGGCAGTGCCTTGAGGGGGTTAAGGCATACTTCCAATTGGAGGGTGAAGAGAAAGTCGAGAAGGTATTACACTCTTTGAACCTTCTAGTGGAAGAAAACCTGCCCTGTGATATGATCTTAGGCATGGATTGGGGGATGGCGGTGAAAGCAGATGTGAAGATGGGCAAAGTTGAGTGTTGGTCGCCTAGTCAGGAGAAGAGGGTTGAGAAGAGGAAAGTCCGCTAGTATCATCAGTCTGGTTTGAAATCCTCCCTGTCCATTTTCTGCATGAGTGCCCCTATGTTCTCCAGTTGCACAGTAAGGAACAAGTTGGTAGATCAGGTCCATGTGGCCTATCTGACACCTGAGAAAAGGGATAAGGCCAAGGAAGGAGAGCCTAAAGGAGAGGGAGAGTCTATACCACCCCAAGTCGAGAAGTTGCTAGGAGTGTTTGCTGATATGCAGGATGAGCCCAAGAGAATAGTGGAGAGGCAAATTAAGCACAACATTGAGATAGAGCCAGGTAGTAATATTCCTAAGGGCATTTACAAGATATAACCACACGAGTTAGAGGAGCTAAGAAGACAGATCCAAGAGCTAGTAGACAAAGGGTCGATTAAGCCAAGTTCATCGCCCTATGGTGCACCTGTTTTGTTTGTTCCTCAAAATGAAGGAGAGCTAAGACTGTGTATAGACAGCATGAACATACTGCATGAAATATAACTGGCTTGCAAGTGAAGCTGCAACAACTCCACTTTGGAGTAACAATGACACAACGATGGATGATCAACTGGCACGTTAGCGCATCTAGTTTTGAAAGTAAGGAGCAGACATGCTGCAGTCACAACTTACCTTGCTTTTCCTCTGCCCCAACACTCCTCCTATTAATTGAGCCGCTTCTTTCTAAAGGGAGTTCATTCGGCTGGCCCTCCGATCCTCGTCCTCTCTTACTTCCACTTGCACGCTCATCTGTTGTTGGTTCTGAGCAGTCCACTTTTCGTTTCGCCCTCCTCCTAGAAGGCAAGTCATCAGCAACCTCCACTGTTCTAGCAGCAGAGCCATTCACCTTCCCTCCAGCAAGCACACTTCCCTCACACCCCTGAATTATCCCATTCCGCTTCGCACCCAGTTCCTTCCGAGTACTGCTGTCATCATCATCACTTGAGCTGTCGTTCACAATTTGTGGCGATTTGCCTGATCCGTTTCCTCTGCCAGCCCTCCGACCTGAAGCACTATCTTTTCTCTGTGGATGAGCCTTCTTCCTAGATAAGACCTGCACATTTCCTGATGCTGCCCCCTTATGCCTCCCACGCCTTCCGGCTACACCATTGCCTGATGGCCCTTGCCCTCGGCAATTGAAGCACAACCACCCACCTCTGGGAACTCGCCGCAAACGCGCACAACCTTTGTGAATTGCATACGTGCAGCCATCACCATCACAGCATATCAATTTCCCCTTCTTGACATTCTTATGGCATTTGGAGCAAACTTCAGGCCAGCGCTCAACACTGACAGCTGGTTTTGCAGATTTTGCCTTGCTGCCTCTCCTCCCCCCTCCAGCCTGCAACGGTTACACGCCAAGCCAAAGACCCAGAAAACATATACACAGACAATATTAATGTCAGCTGTTGACATGCCCCATCTTACGGTGTGCCATTTGGATTCAGTCATGGGGTCCGGGGACAATTTTTGGACAACAAGACCACAATCAAGACAAGACCTAACATTACATGCCATCGCTAAGATGCAGACATCCAGACAACAGTCCAGTTGATCTAATCACGATTCTAATGTTTAATATCCAGACTCCAGACATCTGGATGAATTGTATGAAATGGAGGAAAATTAAAAACTTCCACATTTGGGTTATTGGTATTATTATGTAAAGTTGAATTCTTGACAATTTTCCATTAATTCGTAAGTACCCGCGCAAAAGGAAAAAATATTCTTTGATAATTGAACATACTCGAATCGCAATACAAACGACTTCATACTGCGAGTCAACTCGAAATATTAACCCAAATTGTGGACAGCAAAAACAGAAAAGGGAAACAGAAATGTTTCACTGAAATTTCCTCAGCCATGATTGTATCCAGGGCATCTGGACCATCTCCAGATTCCTCCGAATCCGACTTTCAGTGTTTGAATCAGTATGGTATACATGGGTCTGAGTTTGAACTGCCATAGCCATGTCAGCTTCTCCTTGATGGAAAAAAAAAGCACTGAGCACAGGGTAAGCCGCAAGGAAGGCACTGCAGTAAAAGCCACTCTGCATTCAGATAACATAATGCAGCATTGAACATTCATCAGGTTTGTACTATACAGAGTATTAAGGACCTATCCACATCCTTTTGGTTCATCACAACAAGCACGGTAGTGGACACTGTACCTTTGAGAACTACCAGTGCTATGGGAAACAAATTCAAACAATTACTCTATGTTGCCTACTACGGTAGTTCAATCTATTGACCTACTACAGCATCCAGAATCTTTCAAGCGGTTAAACCACCAGTACCCCCAAGCCTCTTTTTCCCAACGCGGATTTGCACTGCATGGCAGTGCCTGCCCAAAAAAAAGAACCACCACCAGATCCACAGATTGTTTTGCTTTTTTGGCTGGTGGTGCCAGCCATTTGGGTCTGGTAGCACTGTTCATCCGAAGAACCTATATTGTTGCAATTTCTATTCTCAAGCTCTCCTGGGCGAAGTCTGGTTGTTTGAAGCACCAGTACGCACCCATCCGTATGTGCTGTCATGTCGGTCAACACAAGGCCGCCGTCAGGTTGGTCCTACTGGAGTTGGGAAGCCCCTGGGAGATGCTACATGACTGATTGAGAACACAATTCAGCAGAGCATCAACATGTTCCTCCTATACACATGTTACAACGACAAAGCAGATTTGGAGAGGGATTCACACCACAACTGCAAGAGATACGCACAGTGGCCCTCGCCGTTCTCCATCTCAATCAGAATCACAAAAGAAGGGAAGAATCACGACCAAACCGCCTTGAACAAACTCAGAACAAAGTTTCAACGAGTCTTTGAAGTCTTCCTCCTCCCTCCATAGCCGGATATGGCGCTCGTCCCAAATCCACAGTGCCCAGCCTCACCATCGTGCACACCACCAGCGTCTCCACTCAACTGTCCCAGGAGCCCTAGCGCTCAGATACTCCAGCGCAGTCACAGAGTCCTCCCAGCCCCCCCCCCTGAGAGCTAGCTCAGGGATGAAGAACCTCCAGTTTGAAGAAGAAAAAGAACAACACCTGCCACACAGGAGAAGATATGGCAGCGCCTAACAGCACAGCACAGATATGGCTCCCGACAGGCCCAGCATCTGAAGCACATGCTTCACTGCTGCTCCGAAATCCCAGCAGCGGCTCCCAGCTACAACGCTGCTCCAGCAGCCTGACGGCGTCAAGAACAACTGCTAAACCAACAGAGCTAACCCTTCGGACCCAATGGTTGGTATGCTATGGTATGGAGCAGAGTGAGCGGAGCGAGCAAGCCCACGGGCAGGACCACGGGCCGATGGGCATTGGGTGAGGTCTGGCCGCTAGGGGAACAGGTAAGATCTGGCAGTCAGAGGCAGACTGAAGAGGCGGCATTACTACCCAGCATACACTTCTGTATTCATATCATCAAGCAACAGGGCAATTAAGGCTGGCAGGCTATTGGAG